TTATTAACACAAGTGTGTTATTATGTCATACCATTCTGACTTGTATCTCATTATTAACACAAGTGTGTTATTATGTCATTACCATTCTGACTTGTATCTCATTATTAACACAAGTGTGTTATTATGTCATTACCATTCTGACTTATAACTCAGTATTAACACAAGTTTGTTATTATGTCATTACCATTCTGACTTATAACTCAGTATTAACACAAGTGTGTTATTATGTCACTACCATTCTGACTTATAACTCAGTATTAACACAAGTGTGTTAATCACTACCATTCTGACTTGTATCTCATTATTAACACAAGTGTGTTATTATGTCACTACCATTCTGACTTGTATCTCATTATTAACACAAGTGTGTTATTATGTCATTACCATTCTGACTTGTATCTCATTATTAACACAAGTGTGTTATTATATCACTACCATTCTGACTTATAACTCAGTATTAACACAAGTGTGTTATCCATATGCATGATTGTTTGCAACAATAGACGGGGACGGAACAATCAGATTTGTACGGCAACCCGTCTGTCAGCTCTACAACTCCTGTGACAACGGTAGCCTACGGTGGTAACTCCCCTTCGTCTCAACAGTCACTGTCACCAATGCAGAAAAAATCTCCCCTGCTGACTTCCTTAATGGAAGGGTCATCGGCCTCTGTTGTAATGACACAATCGCAGGCTCCTCTTGTTGCAAGTCAGGTATGGACTCTGGTAAGCTGCTGGTTAAAATGTATTTTATGTAAAGCATCCATATTTATGAAATTTGCCAAACATTGAAGATTTGCAGTTGATATAAAGTAAATTGTTTTGTTAATTACCGTATTGACTTGAATATAAGGTAACCTTACTTGTCAAAGATGAAAAATTATTATTTTTAATTAAAAAATGTACTGTAGACCTAAGTGTTAATAACACGGTACTGTAAAGCATATAAGACAACTTCAGCAAAGAATGGAGAAGAATTAACGTTTCTTTACTTATCGTTAGAAGGCGTGGGCGATACAATTTTCTGATCCAGTAAAGCACTGGTAGTTTATTAAATTCCAATAGTTCAAGTTTATGCCGTAATATGGCAATCTTCAAACCTTTTTTTAAATGTTTTGTAGTATATATAATTTTAAAAGTAAATGCCGGTATATTATGACAGTAAGTTTCTGTCAAAAATGAAAATGTAGCTGAAATACGGTACCTACTCGTTTGATAAGAAAGGAAACAAAATTCAATTGGAAAAAAATGAATATGCAGTTGCGCCATTTCGTAACAATCTTGAATGAGCATGTCACCTTGACTCGGAATATAGTCCGCGAATATACGGCGAGTTTTAGTTTTCACGTTTTACTTAAAACTCGTCTTAGATTTGGCCCAATATTGTACGTTTTGTACGAAATTTTCAAATAGGTAATTTTCGATCGAAATAATGCAATTGTTTAAAATTTCTTATGCTGTGACAGCTTGTTTTATGTGACTCCGAGTTGAAAATGTGTTTAACGCCATCTTTTGCACATTTGACTAACTATTTTTAATCAGTAGGTAAAATAAGTGTTACCTTCAGTCCGTTTATCGACTCCAACACTTTCTAACGTAAAAAGTTATCTAACCAGAGGAAAATTCTTTTAAATAATTAAAAAAATTAAGTTTGTTAATTACATAGGTATATATTTTGTAATATTTTTGAACGATTGGTGAATATTATAAAGGGCAAACTTCCAACTGCAGGAAAACGAAACCAAAAGTAACAAATCTTTCTTCATGATTAACTTGTATTTAAGTTTTAACACCAAGTCAGTCTAACATTACAAATGTTCTCATCACAATTATCGACGCACGTGTGAGATTATAAAAAATGCTTGAAATATAACAGATTAGTATTTTTAATACATTTATTTGGAGTCTTCTGTGGTGGGCCATGTATTTTGATATTGGTAGGTAATCTATTGTTTCTTTATTTAACTCTTGTTCGACAACAGGGTCCTCAACAGCAGGTTATTCAAGGAGCTCCACCCATTCTTCAACAGCAAGGCCAGCTTCTTCAAATTAATAATCACCAGATGGCACCAGTTACCACTTCCTTTAATCAGACCGTGCAAAGGGTAAGCTTGTTTTTTTTCACCTAGTCTGTCCTTGCTTTTCAAGGATCGTGAATACATTTTTTTTAAATACTTTTAGACTAATTTTGTGTGTAGCTGCATGACGTATAATATTTTGAGTAAATATTAACTAACTACTACTTAAATTGCCATTAGTGTTCTTTTTAAATAATTAAATAAAATGTCTATTCTACCATTTTATGTGGAGTTTTTTAAAAAAAAAATTGTTGTTTTGAAAACACCAGAATCCACTTATGGAATAAGATAAGCTAATATCTTCATTAGATGATGAGGAATATATTTATTTTTTTAAGTTAAATTCGATTTCGATGTTTTTCTAGACCCACATGGTTAATAACCAGACAATGAGCGTATCCCAGGTCATGGGTCAGCAGCAACAAATTCAACAGACCTGTCTACGCAGTGGGTGTTCTAATCCAGCTATTGAGTCACCAGACTGGGACAAGGAGTACTGCAGTAATGAATGTGTGGTCTCACACTGCAGGTAAGAATAGCAAAATCACATGGGTTTTTATTTAGTTGTGTTCCCATAAAATAATTATAGTTGCTTCAAATGAAATTTTGTGATAATGTGAAGAACGTAATTACCTATCATACATGTAGTTCATTATTTTTTTTACGCAGTTGTTTTTCCTGAGAGCTACTTGTTATGCATGATAACATGAAATGTACCCAAAAAACTTAAAATCCTTTTCAATAAAATCTATCCAAAATACTGCTTTGAATGGTTTGAAATCTCTTCTTGGAGGTTTTGTATTATTTTATTTAATGATGCTGTTCCTAAGGGACAATAATTATATCACAGTTTTAGTTGTAATGCAGTGATGTGCCCTCTTGCCCTTATGCACCCATCATAAAAAATTGTCAACTACTACTCAAAGATGCGCTTAATTTCACTCCTTATTTGCTGCAAGTTATTACGGAAAAAAAAAGATTTTAGTTTTAAAATGAATGGCACAAAGAACTAGTACAAAATAGTTGTGATATGCTCTTAAGTGTTGATAGGCAAGTATTCGCTGTTTAGTTTTAGATTTTAAGTATTCGTAAGGCTAATCGAATAGGAATAAAAGAAGGTCTGTTAGCTTTTTACTCCATGTGTACCAGAGGCAAATTCAAGTCCACATAGTCTTCTATAAAACACACACACACAAAAAAAAGCTTCCCATACGATGCTTGATAAATGCCCTCCTTTTTGTCAGTGAGCTCTTATTTTTAATTTCAATTGTACATTACTGTCACGATACACAGGAATATGCTGAAGCATGCATTAGGTAGTCATCTATTAGAATAAAATAATTCGTTGTAGCTCATCACACTCGAGCTGTAGGAAATGTTCTAATATGAGCTTACAACTTTTAATATCATCGATAAGGCTAAAATGGAGAGCAGTTTTGTAAGTACTAATCTGAAAGTGAATATGCCTGGACAGAATTTGAAGAGTTTATCAGGTATTGTTAAATGTAAGAATTAGTGTTGCTTGTTCCATAACTTTCACAGCTTGTGGATTAAGAAAACTTCTTTTTCAGCAAGGCTTGAAATTGATACATCAACATAACTTCAACATTTTCATGTGTTAAAATACATAGTGTTTCGACCATTTTAGTGTGACCATTTTGAAGTACCTTAGAATGATCACACTAATGGTCAAAGTTTCGAACTATCCACTGCAAGCTGTAAATAAATTTAAATATTACCATTTGATGGAAAAACTCATATTTTTTTTTTTTCAATTTGTGATCATGTTTGTATTGAGTTTTAAAAAGATTTTGGTAAAAAATATACTTTAATCAGCTGTAGATTTTACTACAAACACTAATGTTGAGTGAGACTGTACAGAAGCATCTTGGGAAAAACAGTTTGAATTACCATTATTTTTCTCTTATGATTGTTAATGGGAGGTGTGTTTTTTTCCTGTGTATTCAGATATACTGTACAAATTTGTGGTCTTTTAATGTAATGTAGAAGCCATCATTGAATTAGGTAGTTATTTTATTCAAATCTCCAACAATTCTTGTTAGCTACATCTAAAAAGGTAACTTGAAAACTATGCAGCTGCCTCAGTAGATGGGTTGTAGCATCTTCTTATTAGCTACATCTAAGAAAGTAACTTGAAAACTATGCAGCTGCCTCAGTAGATGGGTTGTAGCATCTTCTTATTAGCTACATCTAAAAAAGTAACTTGAAAACTATGCAGCTGCCTTAGTAGATGGGTTGTAGCGTCTTCTTATTAACTACATCTAAAAAGGTAACTTAAACTATGCAGCTGCCTCAGTAGATGGGTTGTAGCATCTTCTTATTAACTACATCTAAAAAAGGTAACTTGAAAACTATGCAGCTGCCTTAGTAGATGGGTTGTAGCATCTTCTTATTAACTACATCTAAAAAGGTAACTTGAAAATTATGCAGCTGCCTTAGTAGATGGGTTGTAGTATCTTCTTATTAGCTACATCTAAAAAGGTACTTAAAACTATGCAGCTGCCTTAGTAGATGGGTGTAGTATCTTTTTATTAACTACATCTAAAAAGGTGACTTAAACTATGCAGCTGCCTCAGTAGATGGGTTGTAGCATCTTCTTATTAACTACATCTAAAAAGGTAACTTGAAAACCACACAGCTGCCTAATTAGATGGGTTGTAGCATCTTTTTATTAACTACATCTAAAAAGGTAACTTGAAAACTATGCAGCTGCCTCAGTAGATGGGTTGTAGCATCTTCTTATTAACTACATCTAAAAAAGTAACTTGAAAACTATGCAGCTGCCTTAGTAGATGGGTTGTAGCATCTAAATATTAATGTATTTTGTTTTAACATTCTTAGAAATTCATCTTGCACAATTATGTTTTTACCAAGAATACCATGCAGAGAATAAACAGCATGTGCATAGTAATTTCAAAATTATGATACAGCAGTGAGTTTTTTAAAATTAGCTATGTTATAATTAAATTATGTGCCTCTCTATTATTAAATATTGTTCTTATTCTCTGTTAGTTCAGTGGCTAGTCATACATACATACATAATGTGAAACAGTATCGTACACCAGTACAAGAAGTTACCTACTTAGAAAGTTGTATTATAGTAAGATGTCTTGATAACTTTAGTGCATCTTTTCACGTTTTAGAGATGTTTTCACAGCCTGGGTGGCATCAAGGCAGGCTTCAAACAGTTTTACCCAAGTCAAATAGAAAAAAATCAGCTTAAGAACAAGTTGGGACAGTATGGAAGCAGTTATATTCACAAACGCACAGATTGGAGGAACATATGGTTAGAAGAATCCGCCTATATGTGATGGTGAGAACCAATCAGTATTTAGACAATGGATACATATTACATTTAACCCTAAGGTTAGTAGCCACCTATGAATTGTAATACCCCCCTCCCCCTGCTCTGATGTGATTGAAGGAAAACAAACTTCTTAACTTTTTTTAACCAAACCAGTAAAGGTAGTTTTGTACCTTAAAATAAAATGAGTTTATTAATAAATACCATTAGGGGAAGGTTGTTACATGTAATAAAACTTTCACTGTATTACCATCTTGCAATTTTGAATAAATCACCAGGAAAGATAACATGGATATTGCTCTGTTAGTTAACAGGCTTTCACTAAACTCTTACAGATACTGCTTATAAAAGTAATTACCTGTTACATTTAAAGGAGAATTGGTAGTACACTAGCATATGCTTGTAATCCTTCCAAATTGATACTTGAGTCGAAACGTTTTTTTAAATAGAAAACGAATGAAAAATGCTAAAACATTTACCTACTTGAAGGAAGAAAAAAGCTAAGTATATATAAATATATATTGTACATTTTGACCCTTCATCTTGGTGTAGGATTGTCTGTAGCTTTACTACTTGGGGCATGTATTGTTGAAATTATAAGTATTTTTAACTAATGTTGAGTGAGACAAGAACCTGGAATTTGAAAATTTGTATTAATTTCTTGTGTATTTGTTGTATTGGTGTTTGTATCTTGTGTAGTAATGGGAAAAACCCACTATGTAGACTTTGCTCAGTTGTTTTTCTATGCTGAGCAGAAAATTATAACAATATTTTATGAATTTTTAATTCTAATTTGAAGATTAATATATCAGAATAATTAAACTGAAATCATACAAATAATTTAAATGTATTGTTTTCAGGTGTTGTAGAGTAGAAAGGGTTTCATAAACCAATTTGAAAAGTGTTTACATGAGAGGGTTATGTCTAAAATTATGCAGATATTTCATGTTTGTCAGGTACAGTGATTGAGGGATTCTTATCATTGGATGTTTTGATAGAAGCCTGGCTAATGGGAGTGAAAAGTTTAAAAAAATTATTTTCTATAAACAGTTAGGCAGAACATGTACAGGAAGTGGTCTTGTTTGAATTCCAGTTGTTGCCATTATTTGAATTTATTAGTACACATGTAAATATTTCAAATAGTTCTACTTCAAATATATATATATATATATGTGCACTGGGCGAAAAAAAAAGATTTTAAATAACTGTTTTAGAACTTCAGACCAAGTATATTTTATTTTATCCTGCAAGTTGTATTCTGGTATTCCAAATGCATCCTGTGGTGAGCATTTATGTCTGAACTTTGTCTTGTGTGTAACTATTTAAAATAAACTTAAGTAAATAAACAGATGTTAAGGAGTGATCTTTTGTATAACCTGAAACAACAAGTCAAAGCTCTCTTAAAATCAAATAGAACAGAAAATACAAATGCCTTGAACTGTTTTCTTAAAACTTAACTAATAGTATAAATAGATTAAAATTTAATATATATTAAATTAAAAGATTTCATGCAAATTTAAATAATAAAAATTTATGAGAGAAACGAAAAAAGTAAATATTTGAAGTAACAGAACACAAGGTTGTATTATTCTATATTCTTCTGATGTTTGGGCACAACCTGTTCTCGTTCTTAAGTTTTTGTGACTGCATTATGCTATTGTGATAACAGATATAAAAATGATGTAAAAAAAATCATTCATAATATACAATACAAACTAATACAGCATTTAAAATAAATACTTAGGAAAGGAAAGTTCCAGACAGAGATCAAAACTCGAATACTCTAAGATGCTCCTTTTGTTTCTTGGACAGTATTTATAACTTGTCACCGAGACCTTTGTGTTGTAAATATTTTTGAAAGCTTACCAACTCTGCAGGAATTACTTCACAGCCCACATGTAAAGGACAAGTTTACGGTTAAAAGATTCGCACACAAGTTAGATCCATTCTGTGTTATTTTATATACATGACATTTATATACTTGTGGATCCATTCTGGCTGTTGTTTTAATAGTACCCCCGTTGGCTATGTGGTAAGCTTTGAGGGTTTGTAACATCAAATATCAATGGTTCAATTGTAGAAGGAACAAAGACAGCCCATTGTCTACCTTTGCACTTTAAAAGTATCTTTTAAGTTTTTAGCTAACTAAATTTCCATTTTTTTCATTATATCTGTGCAGAGGTTGCATCTTATAAATTTTCGTCTGTTTGTGGTCACATGATAATGACAAACTTCAGTCAACACAATTGCATCAACTTTCTACCGTACCTGTTTTACTGTTATAACAAAACTTTGAAAAGTAAAGAAATCAGCCATTCAGAACTTTGACAGGCTTTCAAAACACACTTAAAATTGTACATTCTCTAATAACAATTAGTCAGAGAAAAGAACACTTGACTACTAATATACATGTAGAGAAAAGTTACCGAAAACGAACTTTTATCGAATGTTGCACTCCTCACGTATCATCATGTTATTTAAGGGAAGTTTACTAAATCTTAAACTGGAGAAGCCTTTCAATTATTAAGTTTTTTTTTTCAACATAGTGTAAATTAATAATGGTTGGAGACGACTTGAATGGGTAATGAAGAAAAATTTTAATTTAACATAACAACAAATGTACAATGTCTCAACAAGGTTTTGTCATCATTAGGTACCTGATTTTAAACAGCAGTACATTGTTAAGATACAAGTTTAGCTTTGGCCTTTTAAAACAAAAATGATTGAAAGGGTGCACTCACACTTTTTTCTCATTAGAAGAAAATTATTTCTTTAAACAAATACCTTCAGCATTGTTTATAATAAATCATATTGTTGCGTATCTGCTTGTTTGTTAATTTCCCGTAGAAATTCTTTCCAAGAAACTTCAATGATACCAGTCCTTTCTTGATTAAAACTAGTTTATTCTTTCTCAATAAAACTTTTTGTAATACACAGAATTTCCACAGTCACTTTAAACTTAACAACCTTTATAACACATGCTATAAATCACAGTGATTCACACACTTTACTTACGGGGCCTACTGTTCGCTTGACTTAATTATTTATCTCTTCAATCTATCTACCCTGCTGGTTTTTCTCGCTAGGCTTATATATTAAAAAAGAGGGCAGCTTGATCAGACTAGAGTTGCCGGGTAAATTCATGATCCTTCGAGAAACTCCAGCGCGCATTCTCCCAGCGTCACGCGACTTCCGCTGTTGTATCAATATGTTACATGATCTTTCTGAATGAAACAAAAATCAGTGATGTCTTGAAACTCGGACCTTGCATAGATGCAATGAAAAAAAAAATGTCTTAGATTCAAGGCACAACTAGATAGATGTGCAATTATTATGTTACACATGCTCACCTGTATTCTGATTGATCGTATTCCCCATAATTGGTGTTTAATTGTTTAGATTTTTAGTAGTTAAAAGAAAACACGTGCACTGCAATTCTTAAATGGGAAAAGGATTTCATTTAAAACTAACTCTCCCTCCTCTCCCAAATAACAGGAATTTTAAGAAGTTGAAAAATAAAAAGTGTAAAGGGTTTAATTTGTATAGTACTGTTGCTAATAAATCTCACAAATAAATGAGAACAAGAGTGTGAGAAAATGGAGAAGACTAGCAACGTTACATGGCTAAACATGCTTTATGTTTTACAAAGTGAATGATAAAAGCAAATGTAGCTATAGAAGTAAATTATAAGCATAATTAGCAAATAGAAGTAATAGGAGTTGTATTAAGAATCATACTAACTCAGGTTATGAATCGTATAAAGTAACGAGGTCTACGGTTTCAAGCAATATCCTCATCACTGCTAAGATAATGATAAAGAATATGACCCATGGCTCAATAGAGCTTTTAATATGAATCATTTGGGTTGGAAAAAAGTCACATGATACCAAATTCCACATAGAATGGAAAAGCCTCAAATGCACTTACTTTTGTAAAACTATGTACATTCTATAAAACCAATTTTATGTTAAAACTTATTCATACATTTCTAATAGGTAAACTTGGTATTTAAATAAACTTAAAATTTTAGGGCTGAAACCTAGTTGAATAATCAACCCAAATCCGTTTATTTCTAAATACTATTAGTAAGATTGATTTTTCACAATCATTAAAATATTTTATGAACACGAATATTAAATCCATCAAACATTAGTGAATAATACCTACCATTTTTTAAATTATTCAAGAATTCTTGCAGGAACTAAAGTGTGTTTCATACTTGAGATCTGTTCTTATTGTATGTATTTCTGTAGTTTAGTCACAAAGAAATATGACTGAAGGGGGGCTAGTTACCACTCAGTTTGGAGAACTGTACCCAGACATATCCTAAAACAACATGTAAATTTTATTTAAGCTGATTTTTATATGCTGTTGGAGAAATTCATGGACAGTTATAACGTGTTTGAGAAATACTAAAATATGGGAGTTACTCCACATTAAAGAATTTTAAGAACATGGTTATATTAAATGAAGTATTCCTCTATTGCATTGCTTTCTTAATACATTATAATTTGCTTCTGAATCAACTGATGGCACTTTGAGGATAAAAAGATTCCATTAGTATACCACATTTTACACTTACTTTCTCCTAGACATCATGGTAAAATTACCGTCTCCCATTTAGTTATGAAAAAAGGCATGATGGGCAAAACATAATTTTTCTACAAACAAATATGAAATACTAGGTCCGACAGTGGTAAGTCTTCTGATTCACAATGCTAAAATCAGGGGTTTGATTCCCCTCGGTTCACACAGCAGATAGCTCCATGTGACTTTGCTATAAGAAACACACACACTCAAACACTAATTTGTATAATATAACAATTTGTTATTGAAAAACAAGCATGTAAAATGAAGTGTATACATTAAATTGTCTACAAGATTTACAATAAAAAAACTTAAAAATTCACTTTGAACTTAAGGAGGTAACCCTAAAAATCTACTAATGTTAATTGACTGTTTAGTAATATTCTGATATGAAACTTCTCATCCTCAGATGTAAATTTATTCTCTGATCAAATGTAAAAATTTGTCTAGATGTTGAAACTATAAATAGAAGTTCAATAGTTTCAAGAACTGCTAATTAGATCATTTATTTAATCACAAATAAAGAGTTATGTAACAATCTTTCACATTTCCCAAGTCCAGATTAAAAAAAAACATTTTATGCTCATAATAAATCATTCACCTTGAAAAAAAATCTACTGAACATTAAATTTCTCTTTGAATATTCCAAATCAAAGGAATTTATGACCAAAACTTGACACTATTCATTTGTAGTTTCACCTTTCTTAGTATTTCTGTCATTTATTTATTTGAAATTATTAAACTCGTATTGTGATTTACGTTTGCTGGTAAATACTAACAATTAAAGAAGCTGTATTGCTTCTACAGTAGGTAAAATTAATGACGATCTCTATACTAAAGTTCGTTAAGTACTAACCTTAATAACACAGTTTTCCAAGTAACACCATCCACCTATAGAACCTTAGCAACGCCATCTGCATTTGTATAACATACGCAATTAAATATATAAATGAAAACTATAAACATATATTGAGATGAGTTGAAATCTGTATGCAACTCTACGGAACTGTAGTAACTCTGTCCACCTATAGAAACACCACCCGCCTTTGTAAAACACATGTAATACAATTAAATATATAGATGAAAAATAAGTTGAGACAGGTTTAAATCCTATAGAAGTATTGTAACATTATCTACCTATAGAAATACCAATTGTCTTTGAGAAACACACACAATATGCCTAATAGGACCATCCAACTAGTAACACTCTCTGCCTATAGAACCTTAGCAATGCAATCCACCTATAAACACCATTGGCCTGGAGTAACAGGCCCACTAGTATAAAACTATGTCGTCAAACCCTTCCCCCGAAACAACAACACCTCTCTAGTGCCACCTCGTGGATGTTATCGACATCTGGTGCCTATCACATAACAGTTATGTAACCGCCAGGTGTCGGCATAACTTACATATTACGTAATGAATATGTAACCCTCAAGTGGCATCTATTACGTAACAGTTGCTGACCCCGAGCGGCGGAATCTTTTGGATGCACAATGGGCCCCCTAACTTACTAACCTCATTTGTCCACGAAATCTTGCAATGTTGATTACATTCTATTGCGCCTAACAAGTTATGAGTAATAAACATTGGGAAATAATTTATTATTAAACAGTTTATTTAAGTGTTGTCGGGTTAATGGAAAGCTGCGACTTTCAAATCCTTCTAGACTGCGTTAAGGTTTAGACACAAAATGTTTGCAGCATGATTCAACAGTAATTACCATGCTGTATTTTGATTTACAAACAGGCTTAATACTAAAG